AGTTAGTTTTATGGGTACCTCTGGAACAACACAGAAGACAAAATAAGTGTGCATGTGTGCACACCCACACATGGGTGCATGCGCCGGCTGGGTGAGCTGTTTCTGAGACTCTTGGCTTTAAAAATAGTACACAGTACTCATTTGCCAGCTAAAACTGACATTTCACATATGCTGTATATAAAAGAAAGCAAACCGAGCCAACTCATATCTAGGTTTACTGGACATTTGCCCTCCTCTCTATGATGCTTATTCAAGGTGGTACGAAAGTCCTCTGAAGCTAGGAACGGGGAGAAATGAACGAGGTTAAAGTTCGAAGAGGTGGGGCACCCTTCAGTAGCATGGGGAGGACTCCCTGTTTTCCTTGTAGCGTTTTTCTTGTGTGGTGCGCCTGGCTTTAATCAGAGCTGTCAGCTGTCAATTTCATAAGCAATAAATCTCACTGCAGAATTGAAAAGGATGTTTCAGCTGCAGAGTGGGAGGCAGGGAAATGTGCGGTGGTGGTGGGGACGCCAACCGTACTTTGGGAAGAGTCCAACTGGGCTTCTTCCTTTCCCAGGAGAGAAAGATGCCATCTTGCTTTTATTTATTTTGGAAATGAAATCATCATGCTTGAGGGTTGTCTTTTTTAATATATATATATATATTTAAAAACTTAATTAAAATTTCCTGTTATGCCAAATGCAGATGTGCAGTGGGTGTGAAAGGAAATTAGTGAGTAATGTGTGGTGTTCTCTTTCCTTGTGAATTCTGGCACTAGTCTGAGAGGATAAGCTCAGGAAATTTGGAAGCCAGTGGTTAATGGCAAGATGGTACATATTTTCCAGTTGGGGATGGGGGTGGAGATGGGGTGGGAAGGGAGAAATTCTTGCGTTTATGTAAAATTAAATTTTAAAAGTGAGCATTGAGTTACTGACTGACTTGCTGCAATGGGCTTGTGCATATGTTGTTTCATATTAAAGACAGAGGGGCACACATCCACAGACGGAGGCATCTGCCATGTTTGATTGCATTCCGGGACATTGCGAGTTGCAGTTAAAAAACATATTGATCCATGCTTAAGCAGAGCCAGCCTGTGTGGCCTTGGGCAAGCTGCACGGTCACAGGGCACCCCCAGAAGAAGGGAAAGGTAAATCACTTCTGAGTATGGTATCTCTACCTGGAAAACCCTAAAAAGGGTTGACACATGTCAGGAATAGTTAAGGTTCTTCCCATAGGAGAAAGTTGGATTAACTAGCTTTCCAAGAGGTGTCTTTAAAAAACAAAACAAAACAAAAAAACCTAGCAAAATGCAGCAGGTAAGTGTTCAATATTTTCAAAGCACACATACTTCTAAAAATGTTTTCAAAACTGCATGGTCAAGGGAAGAAAGGAGCTGTGTTTTATCAACATAGGTACAATAGGTACAATATCCAGGAGCTGTTAGTCATAAATGAAAACACTGCTATTCCCATTAAAGCAATTCTGTTTGCTTTTCTGACAATATCATCTTATATGTGTCTATGCAGATGTAAATCTTGCTAATTTCTAGGTATCATACTCCCAGGTGACCGGATTTAGAATTTCAAACTGAGAGGTTTTGATTTTGAGCAGGAAATGTAGCAGGTAATTGTGGGTAAACTAACCAAATGATTAGTCCCATTTAGAGGAATATATAAGCATGGGTATTATGTGCTACATGACAAGAGCAAGTGTACAAGAGTGCTTTCTCAGCATTGAAAAATGCATAGTCTCTACAAGTCATTATAGTACACCTTTATAATTCCTTCCAATAACAAATGGAGACAACTGAACGCCTTCTCCTTATGGGAATATTTTGGATGAGCTTTCAGAAGCTCCTGGTGAGAAAGATCTTCGTCATTTGATCCTTCTTGCTCTTCTGACAATTTGAAGTATGTTCACTAATTTATACAGAAGGTCAACATGTGTAAGTCCAAACCACTCATTTGCTAGTTCTTAATCATCCAAGATTCAGTTGTGTAAGCCATAAAAAAATGATGGCATTCAACTAATGGATGGCATGTGAACCAAGAGATAAGATTGGCTGCATTGCTCCCTGTCTTTGGAAAAGTTATTCTTTGCATGACAGCTGTCAAAACCCTCCAGTCAACATGACCAGTGGCCATGTTAGCTAAGGGATTATGAACACTGTACTACAAAACATTACATTTTTCAGCCACTGTGTACAAAAACATTACTTTTTTCTATCTGAAACAACTGTACGTTCTAGCACCATGTGTTCAGTGAACTGATTTATAATTCTGAAGAACCACTGATTTCTTCAAAGAAATAGTAGTTACTAAAAAAGATTAGTGGGCAGGAAAAAAATTAAACCAGTTTCCAAACGTTTTGTGTGACTTGTACCATCTCCATTAGTTTTCCATCTTCCTAAGTCATCTACTTAGAAAGGCGGTGTTTACGACTGTAACTTGGTGACTAGCAAAAAACGAAACATCTCCACTGCAGTTATTAAATTGACTTAACACTGAGATGCTTATTACTCATGCATGGTAAGGATTCTAATGGCAGAAATCAGGACAAAATGCTGCTTTTTGATAAATAGCCATGTGTTAATACCACTGCTAAAGTGATTAAGAGATGTCATAATTTTTAGATCATGATTGTTAAATTCAGGGATTAACACAACCAACTGAATTCAGACAGGACATAACAATCCCAACTGTAAAAACTGAATTAGTTGGGTAGGCCCTTGACAGCAATTCTAACAAACAATAAACTTCTGTTACTCTGTTATCCAGACTGGAGGGTATTCAGTTTTTCACAAAATCTGAAATTTAAAAAGGGTGAAAGATGCCCATGTGGCTTACAGTGCATCCCTTGATCTGTCTATTATCAGAATGAAAAATCCAATTTTAGAAATGCAGAGGTGGAAAGGACCTGATGGAGCATTGAGTCCAGCCCCTGCCAAGTGCTGTCCTCTGAAGATGCTGGCCACAGAGACTGGTGAAACGTTAGGAAGAACAACCTTCAGAACACGGCCAAAGAGCCCAAAAAACCCACAACAACCAACAGTATATTTTCCTTAGCAAATGTGTCATTCCAGCGTCATGCTATAATTTTTCTTTTTTGTTGTTGTTGATAATACATATGGTGCTGTACACGAATGCACATAAGGATAGGATGTGTAGGAAAATCTTAATCCTCACAGCCCCTATTGCAATCCTGAAAAAAAGGTGGGGGGATTAAGTGAAGGAAGAAACAAGAGACCAGTGTATTTGGCGCCCTTGCTTCCCTTTTGCTGTAAGATAGATGATTTTCTGTAAGATCAGTGTCTTCATTGTCTTATCTTTTGTTTCCATGGCTCCATGCAGTTTATGGATGCAAATCCCAGTAAATCCAAGTAAGTCCCATGCTGTTTCACAACAAAGCAGAACAAAGAGGGGACAAAACAAGATGGCACAGATGCCATATTTGGAAGAGCCTTTATTTTTATAATTGTAAAGGTGTGGCCTCTATAAATACTGGAAGCGGAACATCACATGGTTAATTATTGCCTTTTGCTACTGCCTCATGGTGTGTTGTTGGATGTTGAGACAAATATAACTAGATAGGAAGTGAGTGTCTTTCAGATCACAAGATTGCAGCATTCAACTTTTTAAAAAATAACTTAAAAATCACTCTAGTTACTTCTGAGAAGCAGAAAAGTGATATGCTACTTTTTAAACTATGAAATCTTCTGGTAGACTAAGATATCTTATTTGGCATACGCTTTCATGGATTTTGGCCCACTTCTCAATATGTGGGATACAGTTTGTGAAAGCTTATGCCAAATGAAATTTCTTAGTCTTTGACATGTCTCACAACTGTTTCTTGTTTCTGCAACAACAGGCTACAGACTGAAGTTCCAGGGAGTGGTAAACTGTAACTGGAATGGTAGAGTACTTGGAACGTCACTATAATGAATTGGCCAGAGTCCTATTCGCAACAGCAGAGCATAACCACTCCAAATGTGGATTGTTCTGCTGTTCCCATGTGATTTCTATCCTGCAGTTACACAAGGAGGAGATCACTCTGCTGGAGACAAAGTTGGATTCCCCCTGAATATCCCCTTGGGCAATTGGCATAACATGCACAACAAGGCCATTAGAAACCTGGAGCGGGGGAATAGATTTCTGGGCATTACTTTTTGAAAAGTAAGCTTCCAAGCTCTGATGATCTACCTACCCTTTTATGGAATGTGGTCTGATGTAGAGTGCAATATAAAAAAAAATATTACGACTACAATTAGCATTTCTCTTTTTGAAAAAAGAAAGGAACAAAAGTATCCTTTACCGTGTGAGCAGCTGCAGAAAGGGGTGTACGCTGAACTGGTGTCCTCCTATGACTGCGATTGTCCCACAAGACAATTTGGCCAGAATAGGTCCCTCCAACGACCAGATTGGGATGAAAACGGGCAAAGCAGACAGACATCACAGATGACTAGAATGAAAGGGAACAAATGGAAAAGTTTAAAGTACTGTTTTCAGTTAGCAAAATAATTATAGAATTAAGATCTGGAAAGAAACATTCCTTGGATGAATCTGCCTTTGAAAGCTGTTGTGAGTTCACACAAGCATGATTACTGATTAACTGATTTAACAGATTTATAACCTGTCTTACCATTTAGATCTGCAAAGTGGCGTACAAAAATCACGTCTACTCTGAATTACTGTTTGTTGAAAGATTTTCAAAATGTTTACAGTAGAAGAAACCCCTCCTTGTCTCAATTACAGAGTTGGTGATGCAAGAATATAACAATAAGCTTCCACTTCCCACATCCCACTTTCTTGCCCCCCCTCCCACAATCACCAACATGTGTAACTTCTGTGCTTTCAAGTTATACACAAAACAATGCTATATATGGAACAATTCTTAGCAAAAGCAGGTTTCCTACTCTAGAATACAGAAGCAGATATTTTCTTCCAAAAGATCATGTTTTTTTTCAGGTCCATGGTGCATTCTGCTTTAAAGAAACAGAAAATAACTCTGAGGCTGACTACATGGGCACGTAGCTCACATTTTGGTCCACTGCAGGGATGAGCTGGTTTGCTCCTAAAGCCAACAATCAGGTGACATCTTTGCTGAAGGAAATCAACCTACCACTACAGCAGTCCTACCTGCACCTTTCTGGCTTATCAGGGGCTTCTACTTTTTTGGTGTGGGTGGGATAACTCTCTTTTGGAGTCCTACCTGCACCTTTCTGGCTTATCAGGAGCTTCTATTTTTTTGTATGGGTGGGATAACTCTCTTTTGGTCCATTTCCAGCATGTGGGTTCACCAGGAATGAACCAAAAGCCTTCCTTTTTTCAATTTGGCAATATTGTGAACTGGCAGTAAAGCCACTTCAGGATATTGGCTAATTAAATACTTCCTCTGCTCCTGGAGGAAGAGCAGAGGAAGTGAAAGGTGTTTTTTAACTTCCATTAGAGCAGCAAAAATGTGCTACATCAGTTATTTTTTTTAGAGCAGAGGAAGTGAAAGGTGTTTTTTAATCTCTATTAGAGCAGTGAAAATGTGCTATATCAGTTATTTTTTAAAAAAAATATTTTCTTTCCCTTGTTTTAAAGAACTGGTCAAGAAACTGCCCACTGAGTATCCATTGAACTTTTAAGACAAGTGTACAACCTTTTTCTTGATCACATACGGAATACACATACTCCTATGCTTTTAAAAAGCAAACCAAATAGGATCACTTAAGCACACCAAATGGCCTACCCGACCTCCCAGCAACCTTGTTTAGCCCATGATAGTCTGCTCCAACCCAGCCTTATATACAAGATCTCTGCTTCTCCCCGTTCTTATTCGAGAAAAAATACAGGAGGGTGTGTGGTGGAAGAGTTAAAGGCACATTAGGGTCTTATTCTGGGTCTCTTCCAATGAAACATCACAACTTGGGGAAAGTTATTTTTAAGGTTCTAGCTCCCAGAATCCTACAGCCAGCATGGCCAGTAACCTTTCCAAGCTCAAAGAAAATCTGGCCCTGGCCCAGTATGAGTAAGGAACACCTCTAACAATACCTTGGTCAGAAGATCAAGACTTCAGCAGCCATACTTTTACTTCCTAGTCAGATCACAGGGGGGGAGTTTGATGGGGCTGTTTTCTCCTTGCCAATGACAGCAGCAGTTTGGAATGTCTTTTCTTGAACAGGGAGGCAAAAAGCAATCCTCCAGAACAAATCCAGGAGTACAGCAGATTGAAATGTGCGGAACAAGAGTGCACATGCAACACTTGATTACTCAGCACTTAATGAGATAACATGAACCATACTGAGTAGCACTGTTCTTTGTTTCAGGTGAAATTAAGAGTTAAGATTGGCTTTGTTCCCACCACTGGATCCGTGATGACTTCTTTACACACTCAAACCATCACTGAATGCTGCATTCACCACATGTTGCACAGGAATATGTGCAACTGATTATAAGAACCGAAAAGATAACCCCAAATGCCTGTGTATCAAATTGTGAATTTACCCAGTTCTAAAGCAACCTTAGAAAAGGATATGCTAGTGTGTGAGAGGGTCTGGAGCATAATGGGAGATCACCATGCAAGATCTCCGATTCTCTTTTTGCTCCATTTTGTATGATCGTCTGATGCAGTTATTTCTTATTTCAATGCCCCTCCCACTAAGCACTGAAATAGTATCATTACTCAGTAGTTAAGCGCAAAATTTTTAAAAATGTCATTTCAATCTAGGGATACACACTATTTCTGACAAATTTGCAAATACCAAATGAATCAGGGAGTTGTGCACTTCCAGGGTAACCATGGGGCAGAGCAAAGAACCTGAAGGCATTCATGAAGCAGATCAGAACTCCCATGGGTCCTTCATGTTAAGTCTGGCATTCATGGATTTAATAAATTATAATAAAATTAGATATACAGTGGTGCCTCGTTTAGCGACATTAATCCGTGCAGGAAAAAACCTTGCTAAACGATTTAATCACTAAGCGATTTTAAAAAGCCCATAGGAACACATTAAAATGCATTTAATGCGTTCCTATGGGCTAAAAACTTACCTGTAAGCGAAAATCCTCCACAGCGGCAGCCATTTTGGGTGCCTCTAGAGCGAGGCAAAACAGTGGTCGCCATTTTGTTTTTCCGGCAGCCATTTTGGAACCGCCAATCAGCTGTTTAAAAATGGACGCTTTGCCATGATCGCGTCCCTGCAATCATCGCAAAGCGATTTTGACCCATAGGGGCCATTGCTAAGCGATCACTCTGGCGATGGCAAAATGTCCATCACAAACCGATTTCGCCATAAAATGGAGCGATCGCTAAGCAAGGCACCACTGTAAATATTTTTAAAGGTGATTGTATTACAAGCAGGGAAGAGAAAAAAGAATTGATTCCTTGCCTTAAATGCTGAAAAATCATTGATTAAATAATTAAAGTCTATACCACTCAACATGTTGTGCCATCACAGCTACAGGGTAGCAGCAGCAGCAGCTGCAGTACCACTAAATTCAGATCTAGGGAAGAAAAGATATAGATCGGTGGTCACATTCTTAGCTGAGTTCAAGATACAGTAAAGACAAGCTGTAAGGTTTTTATGTAGATAATACTCCCTTTGACAGAGTCCTCCTGGATACCAAAGATAAACATAAAAAATATATCCCCTCCGACTCACCCCTCCCTAACTCTGCCACACTCTCTAACTACCACAGACTAACTTCTCCTTCAGACTCTCCTCTCTGACTCTACCTGACTGAACTCCGACTCACGCCTCCCTTCTGGTTTCTCTTGCTCCGCCTCCCAACAGCTCTCATTGGTATATGCAAATAACCTACTACATGAGCCAAAGCAGGGTGATCACCACAACCACCTCCTCCTGGGTATCAAGATCTAATTTTATATATATAATTATATAACAGACATAAGCACTGTGACAATGGCAGAGTGTCAGAGAGCTCTTAAAAACCAATACACAGCCATTCAAAAAGCAGAGCTAATAAAGTATCTTTTCATACAGAAGCTTTTAAAAAGTGATTTCATTTATAATGACAAATTTTGAAGAGAAAATACACGGATGATTCTAACACCAAGCATGTGCTGGATGCACTCTCGTCAATACCTGTTATGTTGCACTGATGTTTTAACAATTAACTGTACAAGCTATCTCATGTATACAACTACGTATATACAGTACAGATAGATGTAAGGCATGTGGATACTTATTGGCCCAACCAGAAATAACATTTTGACTGTAGAGGTGAAACACAGGAAGCTCTAGATTGCAGTGTTTTTGCACAGGCCCTGACAACTGTGATGGCTCCGTCTTACCATGTGTACTCTATGCCGTCAGATCGGAACTCACATAACAGCCCTAATAGTGATTTCAAGGTAAGTGAGATATTTAAGGAGTGTTTTTTACCAGTTCCACTCCCTCACTGAATTTCCATGTCCAAGTAGGGATTTCAAACCTGTTCACCAGAGTCCTAGTCACTCTGTCCACTACACCACAGTGGGAATCCCCTAATAATTTTGGAGCTGGAAGGGACCCTGCGGATCATTGAGCTGGAAGCCCTAATAGTGATTTCAAGGTAAGTGAGATATTTAAGGAGTGTTTTTTACCAGTTCCACTCCCTCACTGAATTTCCATGTCCAAGTAGGGATTTCAAACCTGTTCACCAGAGTCCTAGTCACTCTGTCCACTACACCACAGTGGGAATCCCCTAATAATTTTGGAGCTGGAAGGGACCCTGCGGATCATTGAGCTGGAGAGGCCCAGTGGGGAATTGAACTCCCATCCTCTGGATCTGCAGCCAGATACCTAAACCACTGACCTATCTAGCAGTAGGGTGATCACCACAACCACCTCCTCCTGGATATCAAGATCTAATTTTATATATAAAATTATATAACAGACATAAAACTGTGACAATTGCAGCAGATACCTAAACCACTGACCTATCTAGCAGTTCTTACCATAGTTTCATGAAAATTCCGTTTTGGAATGGTTCACTGGCATAATATTTTCATGTCAGTTTACATGCCACCTTCTAATGCACAAAATCTCCCACTGCTGGATTACTAAACCATATATATCCCTTTAAAACTCATATCACAGATGTAAAACTCGGAATGAAGCTGCCAGTATAAAAAACTGGGGTTAAATTAACCCAGAATAACTCTTCGTTGAATACAGTAATTTCTGCAACCATGGTCTTACCCAGGAAAGAGCACCATGAGTTTGTACTTCTTGAACAGCTACAGCTCAGGAGAACTCTGGGTGCAGACCAGTGTGATTTTTATTTTTCTGAAAAATCAAGGCACTTTCCCATACAGGTTTTAACAGGAGAGAGAAAAATAACCCAGTTTAAAGACAAATTACTTTATTTCACTAAAACCATCCAGGGATGCTAGGCAGACCACTGAGAGAACCAAATGCTGGACTAGAAAAACTTTTTGTCCAGTCTTGCAAGAATCTTCCTTTGTCCAAC